TCTTGAATCATGACGTGATATTAGAAATAGAACAAAACAGAAGTAGCATAAGCATTGGAGAACTTCCTGGGAGCAGAACTCTCTGATACCTAGATTGTCCACATCTTGACTTTAATTTGAGAAATTAAATAGTTATGCTTTATTGTTGCTTTTAGTCAAAATTCATCCTCACAAATACATTTTTGGCACAGTTTACACCATTTTATGCTTCCACTATCAATACAGGAGAATGCTGTTTCTCTCTAGCCTCACCAATAGGAATGTTGCCAAACTTTTCAATTTTCATAATCTTAGAAGTGAGGAAAAATCTTACTTTTAATTTGCATTTCTCTTGTAATGAGTCAGGTTGAACTCATTATGTGTAAGGGTCATTTACATGTCTTTTTTTTTAAGGTATAAATGTTTTTGTTGAATTTTTTTGTTCCTAGGAGTTTCTTGTACGCTAGGAAAATTAATTCCTTGTCTGTGATATGAATTGCAATTAATTTTTCCAAGTTTGTCATTTGTCTTTACTCTTTTTGGTAATGTAGAAAAAAATTTAAAGTTTTGGGGAAAGACCATAATTAAAAATTTTAAATATCCTCCTCCCACCTCCCGCATTTAGATTTGGGTACTAGTAGAAGCCCAAAGTCATACAGTAATTCACTCATCCTGTTCTCTGGGAGTTTTATGAATTTGCTTATTATATATATTTGTTTGTTTATAAATATATATATATATTTGATGATATGTGAAGTATGAATCCAACTTATCTTTTTTCCAAATGCCTCCCTCCTATTTGTGTAAACCATTTATCTTTATACCACTGATGCTGCCTTTGTAATGTGCTATGTTCTGTATTTATTTAGGTTCAATTCTGAACTTAGTATTTTGTTCCATTGGTTTGCCTATTCATATGTCGAAACCACATTTAAATTATTGAGGTTTTTATACTATGTTCCATAACTAATACTACTGGCCTTCCCTCATTCTTTTCCTCCCCAAAGGTTTTTTTTGGCTATTCTTTCTTGTTTAATTTTTTATATACAATTTTCATTTCACATAGGTCTAGAAAAAATGTTTTTATTGGGAGTTCATTAAATTTAACAACTAACTTAAGGAGAATTGGTACATTTAGGATGTGAATATTCTAATCCAGTCCAAGGAATTTTATCTGCTTTGATTGCTATTGTAAAGGAGGCATTCTTTTCCATCCTATCTTCTAACTGATTGTTGTTTTTATATGTGAAGACTATTGATTTCCGAATGTTGAATTTATACCCCATTGTCCTTTCTGGATTCTATTATTGTTTATAGTAAATTTTCAGCTGATATCTTTTCTGATTTGCTGTCATATGTGCTGAGGGAGATAGTTTTACTTTCTCAATTTCAATCTTTATGTTTTAGACTGATTTTGTGGTGTAATGGTGGTTGTACTTCTGTCTTGGCCAGTGTTCCTCCTTCCTGTCTTTTTTCCAAGACAGTATCTGCAGCCTTTCTACTCATACCCAATACCTTTTCAATAAATTCTTTTTTACTTAAAGTCAAAACTGGTTTCCTATCTAAGAAGCCTAAGTAAAATTCATTTTTCACAAATAGACATCCAATGATATACCACAAATGATACAAGTATACCAAATAATTTTCATACTATATATCATATCAATCAATTCCTGGAGAATATGCTTTGAATTTTTGTCCCTGGTTGTAGTATCAAATTTGAACTAACCCTTTTCAGTTTTCTCCAAAGAAGACTCTTAACATTTTGTGATAGCAGTAGCTCTAAAATATAAAAGCCAGCTTAATACTTTTTATGCTTTTATGGTTTGTCTTGATACTATGAAAAATTTATTAGGATGGCAGAGTTTGAATTTTTTTTTTAAACCAGTGGTAACTTATTTCCAAAGCAAATGTTAACAGGGAACCCAGGACAGAAAACATTTTAAAGAGAAGCTGCAAAGGTCAGAGAGATTATGTAGAAGTTATTCAACCTAGAATTTTTTGATGCTTCTGAGCATAGACAAAAAGGGAAAAGTTGTTCCGATGAATTGGAGAGGTCTCGATGGCTGTATGTGTTGAATTGTGTCCCCCCAAAAGTGCTCCATGCTGTCATCTCTAAGCAGACAATCCTTGCAATTGTTGAGCTCATCACTTACATTTGGGAAAAGCCCGTCTGTATGTACACACTTTCATGTGTTTATTAAACTAGAGACAGTAAATTGACAATCTGTTAATAAATACTTGGGCACATACAGTCTTAAAAGTTGGCGGGGGGGGGGATATACTTTTCATCACTATGACAAAATCCCTAAGTAAATCAACTTAAAGGTGGAAAGATTTATTCTGGCTCATGGTTTCAGAGGCTTGAGTCCATGATTGGCTGGATGTCCTGTGGTGAGGCAGAGCATCATGGTAGTGAGGGTGTTGTGGAATACACCTATTTACCTTGTGGTGTCTGAGAAGCAGAGAGATAGAGAGAGGAAGGGGCTGGGGATAAGATATACTCTTCGAAGGTATGCTCCTCCCCTGTGACCTACTTCCTCCAACTAGGCTCCACTTCCTAATAAACCATTAAGTATGAGCTCATCAATAGATTAACGCGTTAATGAAGTTGTTACCATTGTGTTTTATCACCTTCAACTGCAATCCCAGCTGAGGACCAAGTCTTCAACATATGAATCTTTTGGCAGTATACTTCCTATCCAAACTATACCACCAATATTTAAAGATCATATTTCTTGCCAGGCGCCAGTGGCTCTCACCTATAATCTTAGCTACTCAGGAGGCAGAGATCAGGAGGATCATGGTCCAAAGCCAGCCTGGGCAAATAGTTTGAGAAATCATATCTTGAAAAGATCCTTAACAAAGAAGGGCTGGTGAAGTGGCTCAAGTTGTAGGCCCTGAGTTCATTCAAGCCCTAGTACTACAAAAAAAAAAAAAAAAAAAAAATCTGGATTTCTGGTTTTTCTTCAAAATGAAAATATTTTTGCATTCCTTCATGGTAAAAGTTGGCTGTTGCTGAAGAATGGCTGCTTCTTTTACCCACATCATGAGTATTTCTATCAGCCAAGAAGCCACCATTCATGCTTACCCAGCTGAGTCTACAACCTCTACAGCGATGTGGGGCAACAATAAGAGCTACTGTTGCTGAGCCCAACTACATAGCAGGTGCTTCCTAAACATTTATTCAAGGGCCTACTTTATGCCAAGCACTGTTCTAGGTACTTGCAATATTCAGAGAACAGAACATATCATGTCCCACATGGAACTTACATTCAAGTAGTAGGTGGAGGACAGATAAATAATAAATGATACAAGTAAGTAAATCATGTAGTGTGCTAGAAGTTCTAAGAAAAAGAATTTTAAAAAGTATAGTAGGGAAGGGGAATTGGCAGTCCTAGGACAAGATAGGTTCTGATTTCAACTGAGGTGGTCAGGATGGAATGCCTAGGAAGATATTTGAGCAGGCTTAAGGCCACATGGATTTATGGGGTAGGGAAAGGGAAAAACATGTTTGTTTCAGGCAGATGGGAAAGCTAACGCAAAGGTCTAAAGGCAGGTAAGTGCATGTCTCGTGTGTGTTTAAGGAAGGCAAACAAAGGAGTTTGGCTGAAGCAGAGTGAAAAGGGGAGAGTGGAGGAGGAGTGTTCAGAGGTTGAGGGCTGTGTCAGAATATGGTAGATCTTTAGGCCATCACAAGGACTTTTACTGCTGATGAAATGGGAATTCACTAATGGGTTTTAAGCAGAAGAGAGACCTGATCTGACTTAGATTTTCAAATAATCACATAGTGGCTCTTTTAATGCTAGACCATAGGGGAAGGAGAGGCAATGATGGAAGCAGAGAGACTTGTTCCAAGGCTTTTTGCACTGATCAGGTGGTGTGGGCCATGAAGGTAGCCAGGGAGGTGGTGATACATGGTAGAAGTCAGGATGTGCTTGAAGGTAGAAATCCTGATGGATTAGATGTGACGTGTGAAAGAAGCCAGGTTTGGCCTGACAAACTGGCAGGATGGAGTTACTATTTGACATGAAGCTGTGGGAAGACACTTCAGGGGGATTGAGTTGGATTTTGGACCATGCTGTCCACTTGGACATCTGAAGCAAAAGTTGAACAAGCTGTTAGATAAGATTCTCAAGTTCAGAGGATACATCTAGCTGGCAATAAACATTCTATATTTGGATCCAGTCTCAGTTTTAAACACCATATAATGCAGGTGACCCCCAAATGCTTATTTATGGTGGGATCCAAGGCAGATTGTGGTAGTATGGTTGTGTTGCTAGCAAAATGTGGGGTGGTCTTTTGAGTGAGGACTCTATCCATGATCAAAGAGTAGGCATGGTCTTAGTTCTAGCGCTTGGGTCTCCCAGATTCCAACATCATTGAGTACACTGAGGCTCAATATAAGATACAAAGCATTACTAAGTCTTATGTCTGGTAAGCAATAGAGACAAATTTGAATCAAGGTCAACACTGGGGCTTCTCCTCTCCTTTCAGGACATTTTTACTCTCTCTCTTAACTTCTCTGAACCCAATTAATTTGAGTAACAGGAAACTGTATGCTAAAAAATACTAGATTAGGAGAAAGCCTATAGTGAGACTACTAGGTGCATTTACCTCAAGTTCTTTTCCGGTCCACCTTAGCCCAGGTTAAAGTCCCCTGAACTTCTGTCCTTGCTGCCCCAACTTTTCCCTTTCTCAACTGATTTCAACTTGTACTCTTCTCTGGATGCGGCTCCAGGTCTGCATAACCGTGGTCCACGGGAGAATTGGAACGTTCACAACCCGCTGTCACCTGGACTCAGCGCCAGGCTTTGTCCTCAGGTCCTGCGCTCTGCCCCCGCCCCTCCCCGGCGCGCGGGGGGCTTCCGGCACGGCCCCCTCCTCTTGAGGGCGTGGCCTGCCGCTCCTGAGCCCGCCTCTCTGCTGCGCGCGGCTTCGGGCTTCGGTCACGTGAGCTCAGCGCGGCGGGGGAGGGGCCCTGGTTTCCGGGCGGCGGAAGAAGACGCGGCCGCGTGAGGACGAGGCGATTTGAAAATACGCTCCGGGAGCGGGAGGCTGAGGCCGGCCGTACACGTTGTCGACCGTTGGGCTTCTGCTCGTACGCTCTTGCTGCCCGCCTCCCTGTCTCGCTGCGGGCTGGGTCCCTAGGTGAGCGGCCGCCGCCCCTCGAGCTGGGCCCTCGCGGGCGTGGGACGTCGCCCCCCGGCTCTGCGCGCGGCCCAGCCGGGGGGCGGGCTGTGGCAGGAGGGCCGATGGGAGTCCCGGGGTCCCCGCGGCGGCGCCCCGCGGACCGGGTTGGTGCGGGGCAGCGCGGGGGCGGGGCGCCGCGGGCTTGTGCAGCGTCTCGGTGGCTGGGCTGGTTCGCGCGGTTTCGGGTCCGCTCCGGAGAGTTTTAGGCCAGTGCGTGTGCCTCGGGCCCCATGTCCCCGGCCGTCGATTCCGACCCACGTCCACGAGAGCAGCAGGACTGGTAGTTTCCGACACTCTCGAGTTTTCTTTTCTTGGGTGCAAGACCCAAGACGCAAGTGGGGCGGGCATCCCCCTAATCGCCGCTCCCTCTCTCGGGCCAGGAGAGTTAGGCACTCCGTACCGGACCGGGCGGAACCGGACACACAGCTATTTGGAGTCCGGTGCCTCTGGCCCCTAGATGAGCCGGAGAGGAAATTCTCAAAGGCCAAGGGCGGTGTGCTGGTTTTTTTTGGGGAAAAGAAGCTGGAATTGAGGAAAGGCAATGAGGTGGCTGGCAGGCAAACTCGTTGGAATTAGGTTCAGTTGAAATCTTAATATGCTAGGAATAGCAGTGAGACCTGCAGATGAAGATGTGAAATTCGGCTTCAGAACCATTGGGGTTCACTACAGAAGAGGACCAACGGTGGGAGGCTTCGGTTCCTGAGGCTGAAGTTGCTGCTTTCTGTCCAAAAGGACTCCTGTAAAAGTGCCTGAGACCTGTTGGATTGGCTGTGCTAGGAAAATCTTTTAAGTGGAAATAATAGCCATTGCTAAAAAAACTTCAAAAGTTCTTAGCATAAAAATGTTCTTTATGTTGTGTAAGTGTAATCTTTCCAGATTTAAAAGTTAGTGAAGGGCAATTAGCTCTCATTTTCCTAATGAAGGGGAAACTTCAGAACGAACTGGACTGGTACAAAAGGTTGGGTAACATGGCAGCTGGACAGTAAGTAGACTGTACGTTGGAGACCCACCACGTAGGTAGGTGAACGCCGAAGAGCCCAGAGGATTGGGAGTGAGGGGGGGGCGTGTTAACAGGGTTAGTTTTTCTCAATGTTCTGTTCCATTTTCTTTCATCTTTGCAAACAGGTAGTGCTAAAACTGTAGGGAGAGCTTTCAAAGTGCTTGCTTAATCAGTGAAAACCATTTTTTTATTAAAAGAGGTTGGATGGGTATGAAGGTCTTTTTTTTTTTTTTTTAAGCCTTTTTTTCTTATACCCCTCACCCCCACCCACCCCTTTTGGACTAGGATAAGTAGAGCTGTAGGTGGAATGAAAATTTGGAATTGGGATAAATGAAATAAGACTAGCCATTTTACCACATGGTCTTTCAGTCCTCACTTTAATTCCACTATGTGTAACAGGCCAGTTTTGCAGAGCTCAGTCCTAATGAATTCTTCACCTCCTTGATAAAGGGCTGAGCTAAAAACCTTTCTGACTCACACCCTTAACATGGCTTTGTAAGGTTTGAATGCTGATGTGCGCATTGCAGCTAATCTGCTTGATAGGGACACTTCCACGTTTGTGCTTTTAGCACATATAACAAAACTGTGTGAAGCAGAGTTTTGAGTTACAAGTATACATTCATTTACTCATTTAACCTGTCTCAAAAGGACTGTATGAAGTACGTATTATTCTTTCTTTCTGTCCCTCCCTTGTAGACAGAAACTGAGGCACAAGTGGTAAGTACAGCTGGAAAGTGGCAGAGTTTGGATAAGAATCAGTCTGGCTCTAGAATTAGCTTTTTTTTTTTTTTCTTTTTTTTCTTTTTTTTGTAATGAATTTTGTTATGTTGTGCAGGCTGGCCTAACTCCTGGGTTCAGTCCATCCTTCTGCATCAGCATCCTATATAGCTGGGACATATCCCAGATACATGTTTAGAAATAGCTATTTGCTGGTTGCGGCCAGTGGACACTACAGGGCTGAAGAGTGGCTCAAGTGGTATAGAGTGCCCTCCTAGCAAGCATGAGGCTCTGAGTTCAAATCCTAGTACCCCCCCACGCAAAAAAGTAGGCACTACAGACAAAGTAGGAATACCAGTGGGGAAGCTGTTGAATAGTCTAGGTTACAAATGAAGGACTTGCTTAGAAACTGGTAGAAGGTACACACATCAAAGATTTTGTAAATAGTAAGATTTGGATGTGGGATGGTTATGCCTGAGTTATTTATTGTACTAGTAGACTAGCTAATCTTTGTTCCTTGTCCCTTTGTTACTCCCCCCTCGCCCCCCTGCATTACTGGGGGTTGAACTGAAGGCCATATGCTTGCTAGGCAGGTGCTCTACCATTTGAGCTGCTCTGCCAGCCCTTTTTTGCATTGGTTATTTTGAAATAGGGTCTTGCTTTATGCATGGGCAGATCTGGATGACAAGTATACCCTACCATGCCCAGTTGTTGGTTAAGGTGGGATCTTGGCCAAGTGATCCTCCTGATGTCTTCATTCTCAGTGGCTAGGATTACAGGTGTGAGCCACTTTGCCTGGTCTCATTATATTTCTTTTTATATATATTTTTTGTATCTAGTCTAAACTTTGCCTGATGTTCACAATGCTAGTGTCTTCACTTCTGTCCATACCAGGCTTTTCCCTTGTTTATGAACTTTACCTGTTTTCCTTGCTCATGAAATGCTGGGTACTCTCTTTGCTGCATATTGAATCTTGCCTGTTTTCTAGCTTAGTTTCATGAAACTTTTCCTAATTATTATCAGCTGCATTAAATAATAACATTCATTTTCAAACTTTGTTTTGCAAAAAATTCCTGGGAGGCCTCCCTAGAGCCAAGAACTTCCCAGCAGATACAAGATACATCTCTAGCAAGGCTGTGTTACTTTCCTACACACAAAGAAACCATTCCAGATGGTTTTCTTTCTTTCTTTCTTTCTTTTTTTTTTTGGGTGGGGGGAATGAGGTTTGAACTTAGGGCATCATTCTTACTAGGCAGGCGCTCCACTACTAGCCACTCTGCCAGCCCTTCTTTGTGTTGGGTATTTTCAGGATAGGGTCTTACAAACTATTTCCCTGGGCTAGCTTGGAACTGTGATCCTCTTGATCTCTGCCTCCTGAGTAGCTAGGATTACAGGTGTGAGCCAATGATGCCCCATTAGAAAGTTTTCATTTAGCATGTCTCACAAAATGTTCCACAGCTCAGAAAGCCTTGCAAAGCCAGGGTCAAGACTGCTGCTTTACAGTTAAGGACTCTTCTTTACACTATTTCTTAACTAAATTATTTTTTTTTTCTTTTGCACTTCTTAAGGGTATTTTCCATCTGATATTTTTGATTCTTTGACATAATTACTATTGGCTGTGATTCTTGGTTATCTTAGAATAATGTAAATGTTGGAAAATATCTTTTTTAATTCTTTATTGCTTATCTTTGTCTTTATTGTTTTAATATTTCTTTTTATGCAGCACTCAAACATGACCAAAAAAAGGAAACGCCAAGATGATTTTCAAAAAGTAAAACTAAAAGTTGGTAAAAAGAAGCCCAAGTTAGAAAATGCTACTGCTACAAACTTTAAAACGAAGACTATACATCTGCCTGAACAACTCAAAGAAGATAGAATACTTCCAACAAACAATAGAAAACTTAATATAAAGGTAAATCATAAACCTTATTTTGGTAAAATAATATTATCTTTGAAATCACGCAGAATATATTTTTGTGAAAAGTCATTTTAATTCTTAGAGGAAGTGATTTGCCTAGGGTCATATCGTTATATTGATAGGTGATGTTTGGGGGTCATCTGTTACCCTGTTCATCTGATCTTGCAACTATGTCTTTCTGACTTTTTCCAGAAAGGTTTGCTATCTAAGTGATTTCTTCCTGGTTAGTATAATTATTTGATGATTTAATATATATCATTTAGAAATAATTCTTAGCTTTTAACTCTTGCTTTTAGTATGTCATTTCATTTTATTTTTTTTGGCAATTATTGGGGTTTGACCTCAGGGCCTCATGCTTTGCTATAGGTTAGCTACCTCTTGGACCACTCTGTAAGTTCAAATTTTTTAAAATGAGACTGTCTTGCTATGTAGCTTAGGCTGGCCTTGAATTTATTATGCAGTCTAGGATGGACTTATATGCAGGAATCTTCCTGCCTCAACCTACCAAGGTGCTGAGATTACAGGTGTGTAACTCCATGCCTGACCTTGAAGTTGCTCAGCAGTTTTCCAGCTGTTTTTCTAGCTGAGTAAGATAAGTTCCTGTTTTACTCACTTTTGAACCCATAACATATAACATAGGCTCATTAGAATCCCTTCTCCAAAATGCTTGTGATCAGAAGTGTTTTTGATTACAGAATTTTTCAGATTTTGGAATATTTACTTATACACTATGAGATATCTTGGGGATGAGACTCAAGTCTAAACATGAAATTAATTTGTTTCATATACATCTAATTCACATAACCTGAAAGTAATTTTGTACAGTATTTTAAGTGTGTTTGCGTTTTGACTGTGTTTGCTGTGCATCACATGAGGTTAGGTGTGGAATTTTCCACGTGTTAGGATAATCAAAAAGTTTCAGAGTGTAGGAGCATTATGGATTTTGGATTTTTAGGTTAGGGGTGCTTAAAGTCATTGTAGTTTGAGCAGTAATTTTGCTTAAAAATTTTTAACAGCTTTTTTGAGGTATAATTTACACAAAATAAAATTCACCCATCCAAAAGCATCCAATTCAGTGGTTTTTATAGTATTTATGGAGTTACAGACTATATAATCTAATAAAGCTTTTTTATCTCTTCAGAAAGAAACCCATTGAAAGTCACACCCCATTCCTTTCTCCTAGCCCTAGGCAACCTCTACTAATCTTTCTATGTCTATAGATTTGTCCTTTGTTACTGATCTTTCACATAGCATAATATATTTGAGGTTCATCCGTGATGTAGCCATTTTCATAACATACTTTATTCCTTTTTATTGTCAAACCATACTACATTGCATAGCTATGTCATATTTTGTTGACCACTCATGGATATTTGGGTTGTTACCATTTTTTGGTTTTTATGAATAATGCTGTTATGAACCTTTGTGTACAAGTCTTTGTGAAGGTATGCATTTTCTAGCTGTTTAAGCTCTAAAGGTTAAATAATAATGAAATGTATTTGAAGTTATGTTTTTTCAAACATATAAATTGTTTCATGAACAAAATTGTCAAATGGGCATAGCCTTTGTGAAAAACCACTTAAAATAAGCAGGAAGGGTCTGTTAAATTAGTATGTAAGTGCATCTGCCATAATGTTTGGTCATAGTAGGTGTGCAATAAATGATGTCAGTTGCTGTCATTTTAAATCAAAATACCTAAGCTTGTATGCAGTTTAATATAAAAAAATTCCTATTGAAAATTGTTTTTATAAAGTTAAACATTTTTTAAAGACAAAACAATGTTTCTGATCTTAAAGCTAAGAACATTTGAAAATTACTTACTGATGTGCTTTCACAAGAAGTGTCAGTTTATTAACCTAGCATGTTTATTTGAAAATGATACGTGTTTATTATTTAGCATGTTTATTTGAAAATGATATGTGTTTATACCTAAAATCTGTATTTTATTTATAGGATCTCCTGTCACAGATGCATCACTATAATGCTGGGGTTAAACAAAGTGCTCTTCTTGGACTTAAAGACCTTTTTTCTCAGTACCCATTTATAATTGATGCACACCTTTCAAACATATTAAGTGAAGTGACTGCTGTGTTTACAGATAAAGATGCTAATGTACGCTTAGCAGCAGTTCAACTTCTTCAATTCCTGGCCCCCAAAATACGAGCTGAACAAATTTCTCCATTTTTTCCTTTGGTAAGTGCCCATCTCTCTAGTGCCATGACTCACATTACTGAAGGAATTCAGGAGGACTCTTTAAAAGTTTTGGATATTCTGTTGGAACAATACCCAGCTCTCATTACTGGCCGTAGCAGTATATTGCTTAAGAATTTTGTAGAACTTATTTCTCATCAGCAGCTGTCCAAAGGACTGGTAAATAGAGACAGATCCCAGTCCTGGATACTTTCTGTAAATCCTAATCGGAGACTCACTTCTCAGCAATGGAGGCTGAAAGTCTTAGTGAGACTCGGTAAATTCCTTCAGGCCTTGGCAGATGGATCCAGTAGGTTGAGAGAAAGTGAAGGACTTCAGGAACAGAAAGAAAATCCCCATGCCACTAGCAACTCCATTTTTATCAACTGGAAGGAACATGCCAACGACCAGCAACACATCCAGGTTTATGAAAATGGGGGTTCACAGCCAAATGTCAGTTCACAGTTCAGGCTACGGTAAGAAGGATTTCAGTTATGTCCACACTCAGTTTTCCTATATTGAATTCTAACTGCTGACCATTGCTAATGGTGGGGAGGCAAGCAGTTGTCTTTCATAGTTTTCATATAGTAACTCATGATTGGATATGATGACTCCTGATGGGAGGAGTCATTTGAAAATATATTTGTTTATTCATTTGTCACAAAGCCTAATGAGAAATAAAACTTAATATATCACCTCTGTTGGCTTTGTCATCTTAGAATTTCATTTTTCTTATTAGTCTTGATCAATGTAATTATCAGTTCATTGTGCTTCATTTTACTAGTATTTTTTATTTAAGATTAAATGAAGTGTTGGCACATATTTTTTAACCATTAAATTTGTTTTTATTCTTACCTTTCCTTATCAGGTACCCGGTTGGAGGACTAGGCACTGTGGATGAAGGCCTGTCATCTACTGAAAACCTGAAAGGATTTATCGAAATAATAATTCCATTGCTAATTGAATGCTGGATTGAAGCTGTGCCTCCACAACTAGTTGCTTCTGTTGGAAATGGTATAGAACGAGAACCTCTTCAGGTTATGCAGCAAGTCCTTAATATTATTTCCCTTCTGTGGAAACTTTCTAAACAACACGATGAAACCCATAAGCTGGTGAGAACTAATTGGTTGTTATTTTATTAGTAATGCTTTCCATCATAAATGGGAAGACTAGAGATTAGCTGTTGCTATGAATTCATCATTCATTTTCCAGAGAATACCAAGGTTTAGCTGTAAACTTGTTTCTTTGTTTTGCACAAAACCACAAAATAGTTTTGTGAGGTTATCTGAAAAGATTTTTTTTTTAGTGAAATGCACTGTTTGCTTGATTATTACTTTTTTTTGGTGGTGGGGAGCCATACTGAAGTTTAAACTCAGGGCTTCACGTTTGCTAGGCATGCACTGTACCACTTGAGCCTTGCCTCCAACCCTTTTTGCTCCGAGTATTTTTGAGATGGAGGTCTCGTGAACTCTTTGCTCTGGCTGGCCTGAAACTGTGAATCTCCAGATCTTCACCTCTGGCGTAGCAAGGATTACAAATGGGAACCACTGGTGTCCAGCTCTATTTGTTTTTATTAGGCATTGTTCACAGACGGTTAAAATGTACTGTGGATGGCAGATTGATCATACAGGAACATCCTGAAGGTCTCTTAGTAGGATTTAAAAACTTGCTTATTTTAGTTTGCCATGGTGCCAAGCCTAGCAGAAAAGGACCAAACTGAAAACCTCATAGTGAATGTAGTGGATGGTGTATGTTATACGTTTATTGTGCAGTTGAGGAAGAACAAACTATGAGATTAAATTGGTGCTAAATTAATATGATAGGACACTTTAAGGGAAGCTGCTGGAGCAGTACTTTAAAGGTTGAAGCATCTGTTCTACAGAATCTGACTAGACAGTTGTGAATCCTTAAAGGTGCCTATAAACATAAAAAATTGAGAGGACACATTTGTTTTCTTTTTAGTTTTTTATTTCAAGCTAAAGCTTAGGAAGAGTCAGGGAGCATTCTACATAAGATAAAACTAAGGATAAATAGTATTAGGTAAGTTTGAAAAACATGGAATTATATTAAGGCATTTAAGAGCTGTTCGATCATTATTTATCTGCAGGGATGGTTTTTGAATTGATTTTTCAAATAGGATGGCATTGTTTTGATTACACTTTTGGGCCTTTCTGTCTTAGGATTCACTGCACACATGGGCAACAAAATTAATCCGGATTAGAGGGTATAGTTTGTGATACTGAGAAAGCAAAGATTGTTTCCCATATGGCAATTAATTTGTGATGTAGGTTAGCAACAGCAGTAATGTATACAGCTTCTTAGAAAAGTGTAATTTATGGTCTTGAATTTATTTGCAGGCAGGTCTGTGACTTAGGATGATTCTACTTTAATTTTTTTATACATCAGAATGGTAGAGGACTTTACCTTTATGATGATTCTGTTCACTTTTATTACAGTATTGAATAAATTATATGAGATATTCAGCACTTTATTATAAAATAGGCTTTGTGTTAGATCATTTGCCCAACTGAGCATGTGTAGGACAGGCTAGGCTGAGGTTTGGTGTTTGGTAGATAATGTGTATTAAATGCATTTTTGACTTGAGATTGCTTTATCAGAATATAACTTGGTAATTTCAGAAGCATCTGTGTTTTCCTCTGAAGGATTAAGAAAGAATGAAACTAATGACTCTGAGTTCTAGTCTTTCCTTCATTTTTAGAGAACTAAGAAATAAAAATTCCAAGCTTCTTTGGTATTTAGTTACATATGAATACCAGTAAACTTTTGTTAGGTCTTACTGGTAGTATTTGTGTTTAGATAGTATAGTGGGACCAAAGTACAAAATATGTAGATTCATTAATTGTGTGTTAGTTTAGGGCCATCTGCCATTCAGATAACACTGACAAAGAACTGCTTTAGTTTTATAGATAGTTAAAATAGTATGGTTTAGGACTGTTTTTATATTCTATCATAGCTATGTCTGTTAGCATTTCATTAACTTGAGTTACCATGTATAGAGGACCCTAGACTGTTAGAGATCAGAATACGAAGTTGAGATACTGTATAAAACTGAAATGACAGGAGTAATTAATTTGTACAGGAATATTGTGTACACACATAACATATATACATATGTATGTACACATATGTACACCCAGGGCCTTAGGTCTACCACTAAACTATATCCCCAGCCCAAGAATAATATTTAAAAGCATCCATTGGTAGAACTCTGTAATTCTACTTTATTTACCTTCATAGAATTGTTATGTTGAACTAATAATTTGACTTTTTAAAATTTTTATTGTTTTATTATTCATATGTGCATACAATGCTTGGGTCATTTCTTCCCCCTGCCCCCAACCCCTCCCTTACCACCCATTCCGCCCCCTCCCTCTCCCCCCCACTCCCTCAATACCTGGCAGAAACTATTTTGCCTTTATCTCTAATTTTGTTGAAGAGAGAGTATAAACAATAATAGGAACTAGGGTTTTTGCTAGTTGAGATAAGGATACCTATACAGGGAGTTGACTCACATTAATTTCCTGTGCATGTGTGTTACCTTCTAGGTTAATTCTTCTT